CACGGTGAACATGTCAGTGACACCGTGCTGCCACACACGTCAACTCCACTCTCTGTCTTCCACTCACATGACCGTCTCCAACACAACACAACACAATACAAACATCCACTCCACTTACTCACACAAACAAACACACACAGAAACACAGAAATCCACAAATCCAGAAACCCAGAAACCCAGAATCACAGAATCCCTGTCTATCACTCCTCCACTCATTCCAACAACAAACATCTCAGGAAAACACTCACACACTCACCAAATCAACCACTCACTCACACACAAACACACAAACACACTCACCATCACCAACACAACACAACACAATACTACACCATCTCATCCACACATATACACACTCGATCATCACAACTGAACACTGCACACAACTGCACACAACTGCACACACGTGAAACACTCGTCTCGCACACAGACCAACTCATCAACCACATGCACATGTCCCACTGCAACTGTCATTGTCACAGCCTCCGACAACACCCGACAACACACAAATTACTATCACGTCTATCTGTTTCATTCTCTTCCGTTTACAGAACCCGGAGCGACACCAGACACACAATCGCCTTCCAGCACAACACCGGACGACGACGATCTCTACATCTACTACATTGACAAGTTTGGTAAGAGGAGAAGACGACCTCGACCTCGTACAACACCATCAGACACACCAACCAACTCGACACCAGTCACCGGTTCAGTGAAACGTGAGTCACACACATAACAATTCCTATACCACTCTCCACACATCCTCACACATATTCACACTGATTTCCTCATCGCACATCACGTCACCCACAACCTTATATCCACTTCCCCTTCAATGTCCCACTGTCCATTGGGAACCACGGTGAACATGTCAGTGACACCGTGCTGCCACACACGTCAACTCCACTCTCTGTCTTCCACTCACATGACCGTCTCCAACACAACACAACACAACACAATACAAACATCCACTCCCACTTACTCACACAAACAAACACACACAGAAACACAGAAATCCACAAATCCAGAAACCCAGAAACCCAGAATCACAGAATCCCTGTCTATCACTCCTCCACTCATTCCAACAACAAACATCTCAGGAAAAAACTCACACACTCACCAAATCAACCACTCACTCACACACAAACACACAAACACACTCACCATCACCAACACAACACAACACAATACTACACCATCTCATCCACACATATACACATACTCAGATCATCACAACTGAACACTGCACACAACTGCACACAACTGCACACAACTGCACACACGTGAAACACTCGTCTCGCACACAGACCAACTCATCAACCACATGCACATGTCCCACTGCAACTGTCATTGTCACAGCCTCCGACAACACCCGACAACACACAAATTACTATCACGTCTATCTGTTTCATTCTCTTCCGTTTACAGAACCCGGAGCGACACCAGACACACAATCGCCTTCCAGCACAACACCGGACGACGACGATCTCTACATCTACTACATTGACAAGTTTGGTAAGAGGAGAAGACGACCTCGACCTCGTACAACACCATCAGACACACCAACCAACTCGACACCAGTCACCGGTTCAGTGAAACGTGAGTCACACACATAACAATTCCTATACCACTCTCCACACATCCTCACACATATTCACACTGATTTCCTCATCGCACATCACGTCACCCACAACCTTATATCCACTTCCCCTTCAATGTCCCACTGTCCATTGGGAACCACGGTGAACATGTCAGTGACACCGTGCTGCCACACACGTCAACTCCACTCTCTGTCTTCCACTCACATGACCGTCTCCAACACAACACAACACAATACAAACATCCACTCCCACTTACTCACACAAACAAACACACACAGAAACACAGAAATCCACAAATCCAGAAACCCAGAAACCCAGAATCACAGAATCCCTGTCTATCACTCCTCCACTCATTCCAACAACAAACATCTCAGGAAAACACTCACACACTCACCAAATCAACCACTCACTCACACACAAACACACAAACACACTCACCATCACCAACAAAACACAACACAATACTACACCATCTCATCCACACATGCATATACTCAATCATCACAACTGAACACTGCACACAACTGCACACAAACTGCACACACGTGAAACACTCGTCTCGCACACAGACCAACTCATCAACCACATGCACATGTCCCACTGCAACTGTCATTGTCACAGCCTCCGACAACACCCGACAACACACAAATTACTATCACGTCTATCTGTTTCATTCTCTTCCGTTTACAGAACCCGGAGCGACACCAGACACACAATCGCCTTCCAGCACAACACCGGACGACGACGATCTCTACATCTACTACATTGACAAGTCTGGTAAGAGGAGAAGACGACCTCGACCTCGTACAACACCATCAGACACACCAACCAGCTCGACACCAGTCACCGGTTCAGTGAAACGTGAGTCACACACATAACAATTCCTATACCACTCTCCACACATCCTCACACATATTCACACTGATTTCCTCATCGCACATCACGGCACCCACAACCTTATATCCACTTCCCCTTCAATGTCCCACTGTCCATTGGGAACCACGGTGAACATGTCAGTGACACCGTGCTGCCACACACGTCAACTCCACTCTCTGTCTTCCACTCACATGACCGTCTCCAACACAACACAACACAATACAAACATCCACTCCCACTTACTCACACAAACAAACACACACAGAAACACAGAAATCCACAAATCCAGAAACCCAGAAACCCAGAATCACAGAATCCCTGTCTATCACTCCTCCACTCATTCCAACAACAAACATCTCAGGAAAACACTCACACACTCACCAAATCAACCACTCACTCACACACAAACACACAAACACACTCACCATCACCAACACAACACAACACAATACTACACCATCTCATCCACACATGCACATACTCAATCATCACAACTGAACACTGCACACAACTGCACACAACTGCACACACGTGAAACACTCGTCTCGCACACAGACCAACTCATCAACCACATGCACATGTCCCACTGCAACTGTCATTGTCACAGCCTCCGACAACACCCGACAACACACAAATTACTATCACGTCTATCTGTTTCATTCTCTTCCGTTTACAGAACCCGGAGCGACACCAGACACACAATCGCCTTCCAGCACAACACCGGACGACGACGATCTCTACATCTACTACATTGACAAGTCTGGTAAGAGGAGAAGACGACCTCGACCTCGTACAACACCATCAGACACACCAACCAGCTCGACACCAGTCACCGGTTCAGTGAAACGTGAGTCACACACATAACAATTCCTATACCACTCTCCACACATCCTCACACATATTCACACTGATTTCCTCATCGCACATCACGTCACCCACAACCTTATATCCACTTCCCCTTCAATGTCCCACTGTCCATTGGGAACCACGGTGAACATGTCAGTGACACCGTGCTGCCACACACGTCAACTCCACTCTCTGTCTTCCACTCACATGACCGTCTCCAACACAACACAACACAATACAAACATCCACTCCCACTTACTCACACAAACAAACACACACAGAAACACAGAAATCCACAAATCCAGAAACCCAGAAACCCAGAATCACAGAATCCCTGTCTATCACTCCTCCACTCATTCCAACAACAAACATCTCCGGAAAACACTCACACACTCACCATACAACCACTCACTCACACACAAACACACAAACACACTCACCATCACCAACACAACACAACACAATACTACACCATCTCATCCACACATGCACATACTCAATCATCACAACTGAACACTGCACACAACTGCACACAACTGCACACACGTGAAACACTCGTCTCGCACACAGACCAACTCATCAACCACATGCACATGTCCCACTGCAACTGTCATTGTCACAGCCTCCGACAACACCCGACAACACACAAATTACTATCACGTCTATCTGTTTCATTCTCTTCCGTTTACAGAACCCGGAGCGACACCAGACACACAATCGCCTTCCAGCACAACACCGGACGACGACGATCTCTACATCTACTACATTGACAAGTCTGGTAAGAGGAGAAGACGACCTCGACCTCGTAAAACACCATCAGACACACCAACCAGCTCGACACCAGTCACCGGTTCAGTGAAACGTGAGTCACACACATAACAATTCCTATACCACTCTCCACACATCCTCACACATATTCACACTGATTTCCTCATCGCACATCACGTCACCCACAACCTTATATCCACTTCCCCTTCAATGTCCCACTGTCCATTGGGAACCACGGTGAACATGTCAGTGACACCGTGCTGCCACACACGTCAACTCCACTCTCTGTCTTCCACTCACATGACCGTCTCCAACACAACACAACACAATACAAACATCCACTCCCACTTACTCACACAAACAAACACACACAGAAACACAGAAATCCACAAATCCAGAAACCCAGAAACCCAGAATCACAGAATCCCTGTCTATCACTCCTCCACTCATTCCAACAACAAACATCTCAGGAAAACACTCACACACTCACCATACAACCACTCACTCACACACAAACACACAAACACACTCACCATCACCAACACAACACAACACAATACTACACCATCTCATCCACACATGCACATACTCAATCATCACAACTGAACACTGCACACAACTGCACACAACTGCACACACGTGAAACACTCGTCTCGCACACAGACCAACTCATCAACCACATGCACATGTCCCACTGCAACTGTCATTGTCACAGCCTCCGACAACACCCGACAACACACAAATTACTATCACGTCTATCTGTTTCATTCTCTTCCGTTTACAGAACCCGGAGCGACACCAGACACACAATCGCCTTCCAGCACAACACCGGACGACGACGATCTCTACATCTACTACATTGACAAGTCTGGTAAGAGGAGAAGACGACCTCGACCTCGTAAAACACCATCAGACACACCAACCAGCTCGACACCAGTCACCGGTTCAGTGAAACGTGAGTCACACACATAACAATTCCTATACCACTCTCCACACATCCTCACACATATTCACACTGATTTCCTCATCGCACATCACGTCACCCACAACCTTATATCCACTTCCCCTTCAATGTCCCACTGTCCATTGGGAACCACGGTGAACATGTCTGTGACACCGTGCTGCCACACACGTCAACTCCACTCTCTGTCTTCCACTCACATGACCGTCTCCAACACAACACAACACAACACAATACAAACATCCACTCCCACTTACTCACACAAACAAACACACACAGAAACACAGAAATCCACAAATCCAGAAACCCAGAAACCCAGAATCACAGAATCCCTGTCTATCACTCCTCCACTCATTCCAACAACAAACATCTCCGGAAAACACTCACACACTCACCATACAACCACTCACTCACACACAAACACACAAACACACTCACCATCACCAACACAACACAAACACAATACTCCACCATCTCATCCACACATATACACACTCGATCATCACAACTGAACACTGCACACAACTGCACACAACTGCACACACGTGAAACACTCGTCTCGCACACAGACCAACTCATCAACCACATGCACATGTCCCACTGCAACTGTCATTGTCACAGCCTCCGACAACACCCGACAACACACAAATTACTATCACGTCTATCTGTTTCATTCTCTTCCGTTTACAGAACCCGGAGCGACACCAGACACACAATCGCCTTCCAGCACAACACCGGACGACGACGATCTCTACATCTACTACATTGACAAGTTTGGTAAGAGGAGAAGACGACCTCGACCTCGTAAAACACCATCAGACACACCAACCAGCTCGACACCAGTCACCGGTTCAGTGAAACGTGAGTCACACACATAACAATTCCTATACCACTCTCCACACATCCTCACACATATTCACACTGATTTCCTCATCGCACATCACGTCACCCACAACCTTATATCCACTTCCCCTTCAATGTCCCACTGTCCATTGGGAACCACGGTGAACATGTCAGTGACATCGTGCTGCCACACACGTCAACTCCACTCTCTGTCTTCCACTCACATGACCGTCTCCAACACAACACAACACAATACAAACATCCACTCCCACTTACTCACACAAACAAACACACACAGAAACACAGAAATCCACAAATCCAGAAACCCAGAAACCCAGAATCACAGAATCCCTGTCTATCACTCCTCCACTCATTCCAACAACAAACATCTCAGGAAAACACTCACACACTCACCATACAACCACTCACTCACACACAAACACACAAACACACTCACCATCACCAACACAACACAACACAATACTACACCATCTCATCCACACATGCACATACTCAATCATCACAACTGAACACTGCACAAAACTGCACACAACTGCACACACGTGAAACACTCGTCTCGCACACAGACCAACTCATCAACCACATGCACATGTCCCACTGCAACTGTCATTGTCACAGCCTCCGACAACACCCGACAACACACAAATTACTATCACGTCTATCTGTTTCATTCTCTTCCGTTTACAGAACCCGGAGCGACACCAGACACACAATCGCCTTCCAGCACAACACCGGACGACGACGATCTCTACATCTACTACATTGACAAGTCTGGTAAGAGGAGAAGACGACCTCGACCTCGTAAAACACCATCAGACACACCAACCAGCTCGACACCAGTCACCGGTTCAGTGAAACGTGAGTCACACACATAACAATTCCTATACCACTCTCCACACATCCTCACACATATTCACACTGATTTCCTCATCGCACATCACGTCACCCACAACCTTATATCCACTTCCCCTTCAATGTCCCACTGTCCATTGGGAACCACGGTGAACATGTCTGTGACACCGTGCTGCCACACACGTCAACTCCACTCTCTGTCTTCCACTCACATGACCGTCTCCAACACAACACAACACAACACAATACAAACATCCACTCCCACTTACTCACACAAACAAACACACACAGAAACACAGAAATCCACAAATCCAGAAACCCAGAAACCCAGAATCACAGAATCCCTGTCTATCACTCCTCCACTCATTCCAACAACAAACATCTCCGGAAAACACTCACACACTCACCAAATCAACCACTCACTCACACACAAACACACAAACACACTCACCATCACCAACACAACACAACACAATACTACACCATCTCATCCACACATGCACATACTCAATCATCACAACTGAACACTGCACACAACTGCACACAACTGCACACACGTGAAACATTCGTCTCGCACACAGACCAACTCATCAACCACATGCACATGTCCCACTGCAACTGTCATTGTCACAGCCTCCGACAACACCCGACAACACACAAATTACTATCACGTCTATCTGTTTCATTCTCTTCCGTTTACAGAACCCGGAGCGACACCAGACACACAATCGCCTTCCAGCACAACACCGGACGACGACGATCTCTACATCTACTACATTGACAAGTCTGGTAAGAGGAGAAGACGACCTCGACCTCGTAAAACACCATCAGACACACCAACCAGCTCGACACCAGTCACCGGTTCAGTGAAACGTGAGTCACACACATAACAATTCCTATACCACTCTCCACACATCCTCACACATATTCACACTGATTTCCTCATCGCACATCACGTCACCCACAACCTTATATCCACTTCCCCTTCAATGTCCCACTGTCCATTGGGAACCACGGTGAACATGTCTGTGACACCGTGCTGCCACACACGTCAACTCCACTCTCTGTCTTCCACTCACATGACCGTCTCCAACACAACACAACACAATACAAACATCCACTCCCACTTACTCACACAAACAAACACACACAGAAACACAGAAATCCACAAATCCAGAAACCCAGAAACCCAGAATCACAGAATCCCTGTCTATCACTCCTCCACTCATTCCAACAACAAACATCTCAGGAAAACACTCACACACTCACCAAATCAACCACTCACTCACACACAAACACACAAACACACTCACCATCACCAACACAACACAACACAATACTACACCATCTCATCCACACATGCACATACTCAATCATCACAACTGAACACTGCACACAACTGCACACAACTGCACACACGTGAAACACTCGTCTCGCACACAGACCAACTCATCAACCACATGCACATGTCCCACTGCAACTGTCATTGTCACAGCCTCCGACAACACCCGACAACACACAAATTACTATCACGTCTATCTGTTTCATTCTCTTCCGTTTACAGAACCCGGAGCGACACCAGACACACAATCGCCTTCCAGCACAACACCGGACGACGACGATCTCTACATCTACTACATTGACAAGTCTGGTAAGAGGAGAAGACGACCTCGACCTCGTAAAACACCATCAGACACACCAACCAGCTCGACACCAGTCACCGGTTCAGTGAAACGTGAGTCACACACATAACAATTCCTATACCACTCTCCACACATCCTCACACATATTCACACTGATTTCCTCATCGCACATCACGTCACCCACAACCTTATATCCACTTCCCCTTCAATGTCCCACTGTCCATTGGGAACCACGGTGAACATGTCAGTGACACCGTGCTGCCACACACGTCAACTCCACTCTCTGTCTTCCACTCACATGACCGTCTCCAACACAACACAACACAATACAAACATCCACTCACACTTACTCACACAAACAAACACACACAGAAACACAGAAATCCACAAATCCAGAAACCCAGAAACCCAGAATCACAGAATCCCTGTCTATCACTCCTCCACTCATTCCAACAACAAACATCTCCGGAAAACACTCACACACTCACCAAATCAACCACTCACTCACACACAAACACACAAACACACTCACCATCACCAACACAACACAACACAATACTACACCATCTCATCCACACATGCACATACTCAATCATCACAACTGAACACTGCACACAACTGCACACAACTGCACTTACGTGAAACACTCGTCTCGCACACAGACCAACTCATCAACCACATGCACATGTCCCACTGCAACTGTCATTGTCACAGCCTCCGACAACACCCGACAACACACAAATTACTATCACGTCTATCTGTTTCATTCTCTTCCGTTTACAGAACCCGGAGCGACACCAGACACACAATCGCCTTCCAGCACAACACCGGACGACGACGATCTCTACATCTACTACATTGACAAGTCTGGTAAGAGGAGAAGACGACCTCGACCTCGTAAAACACCATCAGACACACCAACCAGCTCGACACCAGTCACCGGTTCAGTGAAACGTGAGTCACACACATAACAATTCCTATACCACTCTCCACACATCCTCACACATATTCACACTGATTTCCTCATCGCACATCACGTCACCCACAACGTTATATCCACATCCCCTTCAATGTCCCACTGTCCATTGGGAACCACGGTGAACATGTCAGTGACACCGTGCTGCCACACACGTCAACTCCACTCTCTGTCTTCCACTCACATGACCGTCTCCAACACAACACAACACAATACAAACATCCACTCCCACTTACTCACACAAACAAACACACACAGAAACACAGAAATCCACAAATCCAGAAACCCAGAAACCCAGAATCACAGAATCCCTGTCTATCACTCCTCCACTCATTCCAACAACAAACATCTCAGGAAAACACTCACACACTCACCAAATCAACCACTCACTCACACACAAACACACAAACACACTCACCATCACCAACACAACACAACACAATACTACACCATCTCATCCACACGTGCACATACTCAATCATCACAACTGAACACTGCACACAACTGCACACAACTGCACACAACTGCACTTACGTGAAACACTCGTCTCGCACACAGACCAACTCATCAACCACATGCACATGTCCCACTGCAACTGTCATTGTCACAGCCTCCGACAACACCCGACAACACACAAATTACTATCACGTCTATCTGTTTCATTCTCTTCCGTTTACAGAACCCGGAGCGACACCAGACACACAATCGCCTTCCAGCACAACACCGGACGACGACGATCTCTACATCTACTACATTGACAAGTCTGGTAAGAGGAGAAGACGACCTCGACCTCGTAAAACACCATCAGACACACCAACCAGCTCGACACCAGTCACCGGTTCAGTGAAACGTGAGTCACACACATAACAATTCCTATACCACTCTCCACACATCCTCACGCATATTCACACTGATTTCCTCATCGCACATCACGTCACCCACAACCTTATATCCACTTCCCCTTCAATGTCCCACTGTCCATTGGGAACCACGGTGAACATGTCAGTGACACCGTGCTGCCACACACGTCAACTCCACTCTCTGTCTTCCACTCACATGACCGTCTCCAACACAACACAACACAATACAAACATCCACTCCCACTTACTCACACAAACAAACACACACAGAAACACAGAAATCCACAAATCCAGAAACCCAGAAACCCAGAATCACAGAATCCCTGTCTATCACTCCTCCACTCATTCCAACAACAAACATCTCCGGAAAACACTCACACACTCACCAAATCAACCACTCACTCACACACAAACACACAAACACACTCACCATCACCAACAAAACACAACACAATACTACACCATCTCATCCACACATGCACATACTCAATCATCACAACTGAACACTGCACACAACTGCACACAACTGCACACACGTGAAACACTCGTCTCGCACACAGACCAACTCATCAACCACATGCACATGTCCCACTGCAACTGTCATTGTCACAGCCTCCGACAACACCCGACAACACACAAATTACTATCACGTCTATCTGTTTCATTCTCTTCCGTTTACAGAACCCGGAGCGACACCAGACACACAATCGCCTTCCAGCACAACACCGGACGACGACGATCTCTACATCTACTACATTGACAAGTCTGGTAAGAGGAGAAGACGACCTCGACCTCGTAAAACACCATCAGACACACCAACCAGCTCGACACCAGTCACCGGTTCAGTGAAACGTGAGTCACACACATAACAATTCCTATACCACTCTCCACACATCCTCACACATATTCACACTGATTTCCTCATCGCACATCACGTCACCCACAACCTTATATCCACTTCCCCTTCAATGTCCCACTGTCCATTGGGAACCACGGTGAACATGTCTGTGACACCGTGCTGCCACACACGTCAACTCCACTCTCTGTCTTCCACTCACATGACCGTCTCCAACACAACACAACACAACACAATACAAACATCCACTCCCACTTACTCACACAAACAAACACACACAGAAACACAGAAATCCACAAATCCAGAAACCCAGAAACCCAGAATCACAGAATCCCTGTCTATCACTCCTCCACTCATTCCAACAACAAACATCTCAGGAAAACACTCACACACTCACCAAATCAACCACTCACTCACACACAAACACACAAACACACTCACCATCACCAACACAACACAACACAATACTACACCATCTCATCCACACATGCACATACTCAATCATCACAACTGAACACTGCACACAACTGCACACAACTGCACACACGTGAAACACTCGTCTCGCACACAGACCAACTCATCAACCACATGCACATGTCCCACTGCAACTGTCATTGTCACAGCCTCCGACAACACCCGACAACACACAAATTACTATCACGTCTATCTGTTTCATTCTCTTCCGTTTACAGAACCCGGAGCGACACCAGACACACAATCGCCTTCCAGCACAACACCGGACGACGACGATCTCTACATCTACTACATTGACAAGTCTGGTAAGAGGAGAAGACGACCTCGACCTCGTAAAACACCATCAGACACACCAACCAGCTCGACACCAGTCACCGGTTCAGTGAAACGTGAGTCACACACATAACAATTCCTATACCACTCTCCACACATCCTCACACATATTCACACTGATTTCCTCATCGCACATCACGTCACCCACAACCTTATATCCACTTCCCCTTCAATGTCCCACTGTCCATTGGGAACCACGGTGAACATGTCAGTGACATCGTGCTGCCACACACGTCAACTCCACTCTCTGTCTTCCACTCACATGACCGTCTCCAACACAACACAACACAATACAAACATCCACTCCCACTTACTCACACAAACAAACACACACAGAAACACAGAAATCCACAAATCCAGAAACCCAGAAACCCAGAATCACAGAATCCCTGTCTATCACTCCTCCACTCATTCCAACAACAAACATCTCAGGAAAACACTCACACACTCACCAAATCAACCACTCACTCACACACAAACACACAAACACACTCACCATCACCAACACAACACAACACAATACTCCACCATCTCATCCACACATGTACACACTCGATCATCACAACTGAACACTGCACACAACTGCACACACGTGAAACACTCGTCTCGCACACAGACCAACTCATCAACCACATGCACATGTCCCACTGCAACTGTCATTGTCACAGCCTCCGACAACACCCGACAACACACAAATTACTATCACGTCTATCTGTTTCATTCTCTTCCGTTTACAGAACCCGGAGCGACACCAGACACACAATCGCCTTCCAGCACAACACCGGACGACGACGATCTCTACATCTACTACATTGACAAGTTTGGTAAGAGGAGAAGACGACCTCGACCTCGTACAACACCATCAGACACACCAACCAACTCGACACCAGTCACCGGTTCAGTGAAACGTGAGTCACACACATAACAATTCCTATACCACTCTCCACACATCCTCACACATATTCACACTGATTTCCTCATCGCACATCACGTCACCCACAACCTTATATCCACTTCCCCTTCAATGTCCCACTGTCCATTGGGAACCACGGTGAACATGTCAGTGACATCGTGCTGCCACACACGTCAACTCCACTCTCTGTCTTCCACTCACATGACCGTCTCCAACACAACACAACACAATACAAACATCCACTCCCACTTACTCACACAAACAAACACACACAGAAACACAGAAATCCACAAATCCAGAAACCCAGAAACCCAGAATCACAGAATCCCTGTCTATCACTCCTCCACTCATTCCAACAACAAACATCTCAGGAAAACACTCACACACCATACAACCACTCACTCACACACAAAAACACAAACACACTCACCATCACCAACACAACACAACACAATACTACACCATCTCATCCACACATGCATATACTCAATCATCACAACTGAACACTGCACACAACTGCACACAACTGCACACACGTGAAACACTCGTCTCGCACACAGACCAACTCATCAACCACATGCACATGTCCCACTGCAACTGTCATTGTCACAGCCTCCGACAACACCCGACAACACACAAATTACTATCACGTCTATCTGTTTCATTCTCTTCCGTTTACAGAACCCGGAGCGACACCAGACACACAATCGCCTTCCAGCACAACACCGGACGACGACGATCTCTACATCTACTACATTGACAAGTCTGGTAAGAGGAGAAGACGACCTCGACCTCGTAAAACACCATCAGACACACCAACCAGCTCGACACCAGTCACCGGTTCAGTGAAACGTGAGTCACACACATAACAATTCCTATACCACTCTCCACACATCCTCACACATATTCACACTGATTTCCTCATCGCACATCACGTCACCCACAACCTTATATCCACTTCCCCTTCAATGTCCCACTGTCCATTGGGAACCACGGTGAACATGTCAGTGACATCGTGCTGCCACACACGTCAACTCCACTCTCTGTCTTCCACTCACATGACCGTCTCCAACACAACACAACACAATACAAACATCCACTCCCACTTACTCACACAAACAAACACACACAAAAACACAGAAATCCACAAATCCAGAAACCCAGAAACCCAGAATCACAGAATCCCTGTCTATCACTCCTCCACTCATTCCAACAACAAACATCTCAGGAAAACACTCACACACTCACCATACAACCACTCACTCACACACAAACACACTCACCATCACCAACACAACACAACACAATACTCCACCATCTCATCCACACATATACACACTCGATCATCACAACTGAACACTGCACACAACTGCACACAACTGCACACAACTGCACACACGTGAAACACTCGTCTCGCACACAGACCAACTCATCAACCACATGCACATGTCCCACTGCAACTGTCATTGTCACAGCCTCCGACAACACCCGACAACACACAAATTACTATCACGTCTATCTGTTTCATTCTCTTCCGTTTACAGAACCCGGAGCGACACCAGACACACAATCGCCTTCCAGCACAACACCGGACGACGACGATCTCTACATCTACTACATTGACAAGTTTGGTAAGAGGAGAAGACGACCTCGACCTCGTAAAACACCATCAGACACACCAACCAGCTCGACACCAGTCACCGGTTCAGTGAAACGTGAGTCACACACATAACAATTCCTATACCACTCTCCACACATCCTCACACATATTCACACTGATTTCCTCATCGCACATCACGTCACCCACAACCTTATATCCACTTCCCCTTCAATGTCCCACTGTCCATTGGGAACCACGGTGAACATGTCAGTGACACCGTGCTGCTACACACGTCAACTCCACTCTCTGTCTTCCACTCACATGACCGTCTCCAACACAACACAACACAATACAAACATCCACTCCCACTTACTCACACAAACAAACACACACAGAAACACAGAAATCCACAAATCCAGAAACCCAGAATCACAGAATCCCTGTCTATCACTCCTCCACTCAATCCAACAACAAACATCTCAGGAAAACACTCACACACTCACCAAATCAACCACTCACTCACACACAAACACACAAACACACTCACCATCACCAACACAACACAACACAATACTACACCATCTCATCCACACATGCATATACTCAATCATCACAACTGAACACTGCACACAACTGCACACAACTGCACACACGTGAAACACTCGTCTCGCACACAGACCAACTCATCAACCACATGCACATGTCCCACTGCAACTGTCATTGTCACAGCCTCCGACAACACCCGACAACACACAAATTACTATCACGTCTATCTGTTTCGTTCTCTTCCGTTTACAGAACCCGGAGCGACACCAGACACACAATCGCCTTCCAGCACAACACCGGACGACGACGATCTCTACATCTACTACATTGACAAGTCTGGTAAGAGGAGAAGACGACCTCGACCTCGTAAAACACCATCAGACACACCAACCAGCTCGACACCAGTCACCGGTTCAGTGAAACGTGAGTCACACACATAACAATTCCTATACCACTCTCCACACATCCTCACACATATTCACACTGATTTCCTCATCGCACATCACGTCACCCACAACCTTATATCCACTTCCCCTTCAATGTCCCACTGTCCATTGGGAACCACGGTGAACATGTCAGTGACACCGTGCTGCCACACACGTCAACTCCACTCTCTGTCTTCCACTCACATGACCGTCTCCAACACAACACAACACAATACAAACATCCACTCCCACTTACTCACACAAACAAACACACACAGAAACACAGAAATCCACAAATCCAGAAACCCAGAATCACAGAATCCCTGTCTATCACTCCTCCACTCAATCCAACAACAAACATCTCAGGAAAACACTCACACACTCACCAAATCAACCACTCACTCACACACAAACACACAAACACACTCACCATCACCAACACAACACAACACAATACTACACCATCTCATCCACACATGCATATACTCAATCATCACAACTGAACACTGCACACAACTGCACACAACTGCACACACGTGAAACACTCGTCTCGCACACAGACCAACTCATCAACCACATGCACATGTCCCACTGCAACTGTCATTGTCACAGCCTCCGACAACACCCGACAACACACAAATTACTATCACGTCTATCTGTTTCGTTCTCTTCCGTTTACAGAACCCGGAGCGACACCAGACACACAATCGCCTTCCAGCACAACACCGGACGACGACGATCTCTACATCTACTACATTGACAAGTCTGGTAAGAGGAGAAGACGACCTCGACCTCGTAAAACACCATCAGACACACCAACCAGCTCGACACCAGTCACCGGTTCAGTGAAACGTGAGTCACACACATAACAATTCCTATACCACTCTCCACACATCCTCACACATATTCACACTGATTTCCTCATCGCACATCACGTCACCCACAACCTTATATCCACTTCCCCTTCAATGTCCCACTGTCCATTGGGAACCACGGTGAACATGTCAGTGACACCGTGCTGCCACACACGTCAACTCCACTCTCTGTCTTCCACTCACATGACCGTCTCCAACACAACACAACACAATACAAACATCCACTCCCACTTACTCACACAAACAAACACACACAGAAACACAGAAATCCACAAATCCAGAAACCCAGAATCACAGAATCCCTGTCTATCACTCCTCCACTCAATCCAACAACAAACATCTCAGGAAAACACTCACACACTCACCAAATCAACCACTCACTCACACACAAACACACAAACACACTCACCATCACCAACACAACACAACACAATACTACACCATCTCATCCACACATGCATATACTCAATCATCACAACTGAACACTGCACACAACTGCACACAACTGCACACACGTGAAACACTCGTCTCGCACACAGACCAACTCATCAACCACATGCACATGTCCCACTGCAACTGTCATTGTCACAGCCTCCGACAACACCCGACAACACACAAATTACTATCACGTCTATCTGTTTCGTTCTCTTCCGTTTACAGAACCCGGAGCGACACCAGACACACAATCGCCTTCCAGCACAACACCGGACGACGACGATCTCTACATCTACTACATTGACAAGTCTGGTAAGAGGAGAAGACGACCTCGACCTCGTAAAACACCATCAGACACACCAACCAGCTCGACACCAGTCACCGGTTCAGTGAAACGTGAGTCACACACATAACAATTCCTATACCACTCTCCACACATCCTCACACATATTCACACTGATTTCCTCATCGCACATCACGTCACCCACAACCTTATATCCACTTCCCCTTCAATGTCCCACTGTCCATTGGGAACCACGGTGAACATGTCAGTGACACCGTGCTGCCACACACGTCAACTCCACTCTCTGTCTTCCACTCACATGACCGTCTCCAACACAACACAACACAATACAAACATCCACTCCCACTTACTCACACAAACAAACACACACAGAAACACAGAAATCCACAAATCCAGAAACCCAGAAACCCAGAATCACAGAATCCCTGTCTATCACTCCTCCACTCATTCCAACAACAAACATCTCAGGAAAACACTCACACACTCACCAAATCAACCACTCACTCACACACAAACACACAAACACACTCACCATCACCAACACAACACAACACAATACTACACCATCTCATCCACACATGCACATACTCAATCATCACAACTGAACACTGCACACAACTGCACACAACTGCACACAACTGCACACACGTGAAACACTCGTCTCGCACACAGACCAACTCATCAACCACATGCACATGTCCCACTGCAACTGTCATTGTCACAGCCTCCGACAACACCCGACAACACACAAATTACTATCACGTCTATCTGTTTCATTCTCTTCCGTTTACAGAACCCGGAGCGACACCAGACACACAATCGCCTTCCAGCACAACACCGGACGACGACGATCTCTACATCTACTACATTGACAAGTCTGGTAAGAGGAGAAGACGACCTCGACCTCGTAAAACACCATCAGACACACCAACCAGCTCGACACCAGTCACCGGTTCAGTGAAACGTGAGTCACACACATAACAATTCCTATACCACTCTCCACACATCCTCACACATATTCACACTGATTTCCTCATCGCACATCACGGCACCCACAACCTTATATCCACTTCCCCTTCAATGTCCCACTGTCCATTGGGAACCACGGTGAACATGTCAGTGACACCGTGCTGCCACACACGTCAACTCCACTCTCTGTCTTCCACTCACATGACCGTCTCCAACACAACACAACACAATACAAACATCCACTCCCACTTACTCACACAAACAAACACACACAGAAACACAGAAATCCACAAATCCAGAAACCCAGAAACCCAGAATCACAGAATCCCTGTCTATCACTCCTCCACTCATTCCAACAACAAACATCTCAGGAAAACACTCACACACTCACCAAATCAACCACTCACTCACACACAAACACACAAACACACTCACCATCACCAACACAACACAACACAATACTACACCATCTCATCCACACATGCACATACTCAATCATCACAACTGAACACTGCACACAACTGCACACAACTGCACACAACTGCACACACGTGAAACACTCGTCTCGCACACAGACCAACTCATCAACCACATGCACATGTCCCACTGCAACTGTCATTGTCACAGCCTCCGACAACACCCGACAACACACAAATTACTATCACGTCTATCTGTTTCATTCTCTTCCGTTTACAGAACCCGGAGCGACACCAGACACACAATCGCCTTCCAGCACAACACCGGACGACGACGATCTCTACATCTACTACATTGACAAGTCTGGTAAGAGGAGAAGACGACCTCGACCTCGTAAAACACCATCAGACACACCAACCAGCTCGACACCAGTCACCGGTTCAGTGAAACGTGAGTCACACACATAACAATTCCTATACCACTCTCCACACATCCTCACACATATTCACACTGATTTCCTCATCGCACATCACGTCACCCACAACCTTATATCCACTTCCCCTTCAATGTCCCACTGTCCATTGGGAACCACGGTGAACATGTCAGTGACATCGTGCTGCCACACACGTCAACTCCACTCTCTGTCTTCCACTCACATGACCGTCTCCAACACAACACAACACAATACAAACATCCACTCCCACTTACTCACACAAACAAACACACACAAAAACACAGAAATCCACAAATCCAGAAACCCAGAAACCCAGAATCACAGAATCCCTGTCTATCACTCCTCCACTCATTCCAACAACAAACATCTCAGGAAAACACTCACACACTCACCAAATCAACCACTCACTCACACACAAACACACAAACACACTCACCATCACCAACACAACACAACACAATACTACACCATCTCATCCACACATGCACATACTCAATCATCACAACTGAACACTGCACACAACTGCACACAACTGCACACACGTGAAACACTCGTCTCGCACACAGACCAACTCATCAACCACATGCACATGTCCCACTGCAACTGTCATTGTCACAGCCTCCGACAACACCCGACAACACACAAATTACTATCACGTCTATCTGTTTCATTCTCTTCCGTTTACAGAACCCGGAGCGACACCAGACACACAATCGCCTTCCAGCACAACACCGGACGACGACGATCTCTACATCTACTACATTGACAAGTCTGGTAAGAGGAGAAGACGACCTCGACCTCGTAAAACACCATCAGACACACCAACCAGCTCGACACCAGTCACCGGTTCAGTGAAACGTGAGTCACACACATAACAATTCCTATACCACTCTCCACACATCCTCACACATATTCACACTGATTTCCTCATCGCACATCACGGCACCCACAACCTTATATCCACTTCCCCTTCAATGTCCCACTGTCCATTGGGAACCACGGTGAACATGTCAGTGACACCGTGCTGCCACACACGTCAACTCCACTCTCTGTCTTCCACTCACATGACCGTCTCCAACACAACACAACACAATACAAACATCCACTCCCACTTACTCACACAAACAAACACACACAGAAACACAGAAATCCACAAATCCAGAAACCCAGAAACCCAGAATCACAGAATCCCTGTCTATCACTCCTCCACTCATTCCAACAACAAACATCTCAGGAAAACACTCACACACTCACCAAATCAACCACTCACTCACACACAAACACACAAACACACTCACCATCACCAACACAACACAACACAATACTACACCATCTCATCCACACATGCACATACTCAATCATCACAACTGAACACTGCACACAACTGCACACAACTGCACACAACTGCACACACGTGAAACACTCGTCTCGCACACAGACCAACTCATCAACCACATGCACATGTCCCACTGCAACTGTCATTGTCACAGCCTCCGACAACACCCGACGAAACACAAATTACTATCACGTCTATCTGTTTCATTCTCTTCCGTTTACAGAACCCGGAGCGACACCAGACACACAATCGCCTTCCAGCACAACACCGGACGACGACGATCTCTACATCTACTACATTGACAAGTCTGGTAAGAGGAGAAGACGACCTCGACCTCGTAAAACACCATCAGACACACCAACCAGCTCGACACCAGTCACCGGTTCAGTGAAACGTGAGTCACACACATAACAATTCCTATACCACTCTCCACACATCCTCACACATATTCACACTGATTTCCTCATCGCACATCACGTCACCCACAACCTTATATCCACTTCCCCTTCAATGTCCCACTGTCCATTGGGAACCACGGTGAACATGTCAGTGACATCGTGCTGCCACACACGTCAACTCCACTCTCTGTCTTCCACTCACATGACCGTCTCCAACACAACACAACACAATACAAACATCCACTCCCACTTACTCACACAAACAAACACACACAGAAACACAGAAATCCACAAATCCAGAAACCCAGAAACCCAGAATCACAGAATCCCTGTCTATCACTCCTCCACTCATTCCAACAACAAACATCTCAGGAAAACACTCACACACTCACCAAATCAACCACTCACTCACACACAAACACACTCACCATCACCAACACAACACAACACAATACTACACCATCTCATCCACACATGCACATACTCAATCATCACAACTGAACACTGCACACAACTGCACACAACTGCACACACGTGAAACACTCGTCTCGCACACAGACCAACTCATCAACCACATGCACATGTCCCACTGCAACTGTCATTGTCACAGCCTCCGACAACACCCGACAACACACAAATTACTATCACGTCTATCTGTTTCATTCTCTTCCGTTTACAGAACCCGGAGCGACACCAGACACACAATCGCCTTCCAGCACAACACCGGACGACGACGATCTCTACATCTACTACATTGACAAGTCTGGTAAGAGGAGAAGACGACCTCGACCTCGTAAAACACCATCAGACACACCAACCAGCTCGACACCAGTCACCGGTTCAGTGAAACGTGAGTCACACACATAACAATTCCTATACCACTCTCCACACATCCTCACACATATTCACACTGATTTCCTCATCGCACATCACGTCACCCACAACCTTATCCACATAAGTACGACGGCGGCCTGCTTGAATATCTGGGCTACCTGTTTCTGCCATCTGATTATTTCAACAGGTTATCAGTTTTTATTTGTTTTAATTTATAATTATGTCCATTAATCGCATAACCTATTCAGGCGCTTTTATGAAAAGCCTACGACCTTTCGCTGCACAAGTTAAGAAATAGTACTATAAAAGGCATCGTGGTGGTTGGCAATATGCGTTAAAGAGAATGAACATTAATCGTATGTCGATTCCCGAGCTTCTTAATTCTAACTGCCGATCACTAATCGACAAAGTGGACTATCTGCAATTCCTGCTTAGTCAAAATACGTATCGTAATTGTGGTGTCATCACAATTCAAGAATCTTGGTTGAATGATTTACAGGATGACTGCCTTGTATCACTACATGATTTCAAAAGTTATCGTCAGGATCGATCGAACAATAAAAAAAGGTGTGGTGGCGGTGTAGCTACGTTTGTAAACATAAACTGGTGTCGATCTTCGTCTGTGTGTTTTAAGTTTTCAAATGACTTTATCGACTGTCTAACTCTAAGATGTCGTCCAAAACATCTGAATAAATACAAATATGTTTATGTTACCAATATCTACGTGACTCCAGATTGCACATCATCTGCACTATCTGTTTTTGCTGATGAATTCACTGAGTTCGCTGTTACTGCCTTCAGTGATTCACTTTCAGTTGTATGCGGTGATTTCAATTCATGTGACTGTAGCTTCCTTACGTCACTAGGTCACCAAAACGTAGTAGATTTTCCTACTCGTTTGGATGCTCATTTAGACTTCGTTTTCATTAATGATGTTAGTATATATGCGACTCGTAAACGTGCTCCATTGTCTAGCTCAGATCACTGTTTAATTCGTGTTCTACCTAAAGTATATGGAAAGCATGGGAAGAGTACACTCTTACATCAAACCAAGAAAGTCAAATATAGGAATTACTCAGAAGAAAATATCCGAAATCTAAAAAACATGTTTCATATGACTAACTGGGAATTATTTACAGATGACTCACTCGAAAACACTACTGATGTTATCACTTGTTACCTTAAATTCTGTTTTGATATTTGTTGTCCCACTGAAACCATTTTTGTAAGTTTTGATCGGCCTACATCTTCACAACTAAAACGACTACGGAGGATTAAAGAAAGAATGTACAAGGAGAAGAACTCAAATGAAGTTCGTAAGCTAAATGGTCTGATAAACCTAGAGATTAGACGTCTCAACTCTATGTTTACTCAAAAACTCTTATCTTGCAAAAACTCTACAAGTATGTGGAAATTCTTTAAAGAACTTACAGGTGACAGAAAGTTTAGAAGCGATAACCAGCTGAATGTTTGTGACTTAAATAAGTCTTTTGTACGTCAGTCATCTGATGTGATGCTCCCTCTATCCACGGGTTTAAAAAATAGCTGTGTTCATACGTTCACTGAAACTGATGTACGAGGATGTCTCCAGTCGCTTAATTCATCTCGATGTTTGGGTCCTGATGGTATCCCAAACCTCCTTTTTAAAAAATGTGCTGACGTTCTGTGTCATCCGTTCACAACTATTTTTAACAGATCTTTCTCATCTAATCTCATACCAAAAATGTGGAGAAAGATGAAGATAATTCCTGTACCCAAGAAAGCATCTGGTGATAAGAATGTAAAATTTAGACCTATTGCAATAACTTCACCTTTCCTCAAAACCATGGAAAAATTATTAATACTTCCACTTCAGCCTGCGATAAAAGAGCATACTGACCCATACCAGCTTGCATACAGGCGCAAAAGAAGCACTTTAGATGCTGTTGCAGTTTTGCATCACAACATAGTGTTCAACTTAGAAAAGGGTAAGAACTATGTTCGATGTGCTTTTCTAGACTATACTTCAGCTTTTGACTCTATACCAAGACAACGTTTACTTAACAAGTTAATCAGCGTCAAAACTGACAGCTGGGTAACCAACTGGCTGTGTTCCTACCTCTCTGGAAGGGAACAGTACACTGTGTTTGGAGGAAAAAGTTCAGATTCTCTACTGTCACAGGAAGGTGTACCACAAGGAGCTGTTCTTTCACCTCTTCTATTCTCTTTTTTTCTGCATGACCTGCCATCTTCCACAGAAAACACTTTTGTGAAGTACGCGGATGATCTCACTGTATGTATGCCTATATCTTCCTCTTTACATCCCATAGAAATGAATGAGTTTTTGTCTCGTATTGATTGTTGGTCTGTTGGTAATGGTCTCATACTTAATCCATCTAAATGTCAAGCTGTTAACTTTAGTATGAGACATGAAAGGAATATAAACACTATTTTGAGATCCCATAGTGCTTGTACCATCGGAGACTCTTTGATAAACGCGGTGTCGAAGGTCAATTATCTTGGTGTCACCTTTTCCTCTGATCTGTCTTGGTCTTCCCACGTTTTATCGTTATCAAAGAAGGTTTTCCGTCTGACCTACTACATAAAGAGATTGCATGCTCTTGGAATTACTCGTCATTTTCTCTTACAATTTGTCAATTCTTGCATATTACCTATTATTCTTTACTGTTCTCCATTATTCTTTCCCGGGCTTTTGAGAAAAGACTTTGCCGTATTGCGAAGAGTGCTAAAGGCAATTAGTAAGACGTGTGGTGAATCTTTCGAGGTCATAATTAATATGGTTGTGGACAGACATTTAAAATCATGCAAACTCCTGGCAGGTGTTATTTTATCAGATACTAGCCATCCCCTTCACTCTTATCTTTCTCCTTGTATATCTTCTGGTAGAACGAGACGTAATTACATTAAAATCCTTGCACGCAAGGAAAAGTATAAAAGTTCTATTATACCTTACCTAGCAAATATACTCTGTGACGAACAGGTTGTTAGAATTAACTTGGTCAATAACTTACATTCTTAACATGTCTTAATTTTAAAAGTTTGTAGTTTCATTTTGGGTTTTTTTTTAAATTTTTATTTTATATATTTCTTTATGTATTCGCTACTGCCTTTTTGTTCGTTGTTCAGTAAGTAACTTGTTGAAATACCCTGTGCTGAGAATTCTATATTGTACCAAAATATAATATTGAATAAAACCATTAATAATAATAATAATAATGTCCCACTGTCCATTGGGAACCACGGTGAACATGTCAGTGACACCGTGCTGCCACACACGTCAACTCCACTCTCTGTCTTCCACTCACATGACCGTCTCCAACACAACACAACACAATACAAACATCCACTCCCACTTACTCACACAAACAAACGCACACAGAAACACAGAAATCCACAAATCCAGAAACCCAGAATCACAGAATCCCTGTCTATCACTCCTCCACTCAATCCAACAACAAACATCTCAGGAAAACACTCACACACTCACCAAATCAACCACTCACTCACACACAAACACACAAACACACTCACCATCACCAACACAACACAACACAATACTACACCATCTCATCCACACATGCACATACTCAATCATCACAACTGAACACTGCACACAACTGCACACAACTGCACACACGTGAAACACTCGTCTCGCACACAGACCAACTCATCAACCACATGCACATGTCCCACTGCAACTGTCATTGTCACAGCCTCCGACAACACCCGACAACACACAAATTACTATCACGTCTATCTGTTTCATTCTCTTCCGTTTACAGAACCCGGAGCGACACCAGACACACAATCGCCTTCCAGCACAACACCGGACGACGACGATCTCTACATCTACTACATTGACAAGTCTGGTAAGAGGAGAAGACGACCTCGACCTCGTAAAACACCATCAGACACACCAACCAGCTCGACACCAGTCACCGGTTCAGTGAAACGTGAGTCACACACATAACAATTCCTATACCACTCTCCACACATCCTCACACATATTCACACTGATTTCCTCATCGCACATCACGTCACCCACAACCTTATATCCACTTCCCCTTCAATGTCTTACTGTCCATTGGGAACCACGGTGAACATGTCAGTGACACCGTGCTGCCACACACGTCAACTCCACTCTCTGTCTTCCACTCACATGACCGTCTCCAACACAACACAACACAATACAAACATCCACTCCCACTTACTCACACAAACAAACACACACAGAAACACAGAAATCCACAAATCCAGAAACCCAGAAACCCAGAATCACAGAATCCCTGTCTATCACTCCTCCACTCAATCCAACAACAAACATCTCAGGAAAACACTAACACACTCACCAAATCAACCACTCACTCACACACAAACACACAAACACACTCACCATCACCAACACAACACAACACAATACTACACCATCTCATCCACACATGCATATACTCAATCATCACAACTGAACACTGCACACAACTGCACACAACTGCACACACGTGAAACACTCGTCTAGCACACAGACCAACTCATCAACCACATGCACATGTCCCACTGCAACTGTCATTGTCACAGCCTCCGACAACACCCGACAACACACAAATTACTATCACGTCTATCTGTTTCATTCTCTTCCGTTTACAGAACCCGGAGCGACACCAGACACACAATCGCCTTCCAGCACAACACCGGACGACGACGATCTCTACATCTACTACATTGACAAGTCTGGTAAGAGGAGAAGACGACCTCGACCTCGTAAAACACCATCAGACACACCAACCAGCTCGACACCAGTCACCGGTTCAGTGAAACGTGAGTCACACACATAACAATTCCTATACCACGCTCCACACATCCTCACACATATTCACACTGATTTCCTCATCGCACATCACGTCACCCACAACCTTATATCCACTTCCCCTTCAATGTCCCACTGTCCATTGGGAACCACGGTGAACATGTCAGTGACATCGTGCTGCCACACACGTCAACTCCACTCTCTGTCTTCCACTCACATGACCGTCTCCAACACAACACAACACAATACAAACATCTACTCCCACTTACTCACACAAACAAACACACACAGAAACACAGAAATCCACAAATCCAGAAACCCAGAAACCCAGAATCACAGAATCCCTGTCTATCACTCCTCCACTCAATCCAACAACAAACATCTCAGGAAAACACTCACACACTCACCAAATCAACCACTCACTCACACACAAACACACAAACACACTCACCATCACCAACACAACACAACACAATACTACACCATCTCATCCACACATGCACATACTCAATCATCACAACTGAACACTGCACACAACTGCACACAACTGCACACAACTGCACACACGTGAAACACTCGTCTCGCACACAGACCAACTCATCAACCACATGCACATGTCCCACTGCAACTGTCATTGTCACAGCCTCCGACAACACCCGACAACACACAAATTACTATCACGTCTATCTGTTTCATTCTCTTCCGTTTACAGAACCCGGAGCGACACCAGACACACAATCGCCTTCCAGCACAACACCGGACGACGACGATCTCTACATCTACTACATTGACAAGTCTGGTAAGAGGAGAAGACGACCTCGACCTCGTAAAACACCATCAGACACACCAACCAGCTCGACACCAGTCACCGGTTCAGTGAAACGTGAGTCACACACATAACAATTCCTATACCACTCTCCACACATCCTCACACATATTCACACTGATTTCCTCATCGCACATCACGTCACCCACAACCTTATATCCACTTCCCCTTCAATGTCCCACTGTCCATTGGGAACCACGGTGAACATGTCAGTGACACCGTGCTGCCACACACGTCAACTCCACTCTCTGTCTTCCACTCACATGACCGTCTCCAACACAACACAACACAATACAAACATCCACTCCCACTTACTCACACAAACAAACACACACAGAAACACAGAAATCCACAAATCCAGAAACCCAGAATCACAGAATCACAGAATCCCTGTCTATCACTCCTCCACTCAATCCAACAACAAACATCTCAGGAAAACACTCACACACTCACCATACAACCACTCACTCACACACAAACACACAAACACACTCACCATCACCAACACAACACAACACAATACTACACCATCTCATCCACACATGCACATACTCAATCATCACAACTGAACACTGCACACAACTGCACACAACTGCACACACGTGAAACACTCGTCTCGCACACAGACCAACTCATCAACCACATGCACATGTCCCACTGCAACTGTCATTGTCACAGCCTCCGACAACACCCGACAACACACAAATTACTATCACGTCTATCTGTTTCATTCTCTTCCGTTTACAGAACCCGGAGCGACACCAGACACACAATCGCCTTCCAGCACAACACCGGACGACGACGATCTCTACATCTACTACATTGACAAGTCTGGTAAGAGGAGAAGACGACCTCGACCTCGTAAAACACCATCAGACACACCAACCAGCTCGACACCAGTCACCGGTTCAGTGAAACGTGAGTCACACACATAACAATTCCTATACCACTCTCCACACATCCTCACACATATTCACACTGATTTCCTCATCGCACATCACGTCACCCACAACCTTATATCCACTTCCCCTTCAATGTCCCACTGTCCATTGGGAACCACGGTGAACATGTCAGTGACATCGTGCTGCCACACACGTCAACTCCACTCTCTGTCTTCCACTCACATGACCGTCTCCAACACAACACAACACAATACAAACATCTACTCCCACTTACTCACACAAACAAACACACACAGAAACACAGAAATCCACAAATCCAGAAACCCAGAAACCCAGAACCACAGAATCCCTGTCTATCACTCCTCCACTCAATCCAACAACAAACATCTCAGGAAAACACTCACACACTCACCAAATCAACCACTCACTCACACACAAACACACAAACACACTCACCATCACCAACACAACACAACACAATACTACACCATCTCATCCACACATGCACATACTCAATCATCACAACTGAACACTGCACACAACTGCACACAACTGCACACACGTGAAACACTCGTCTCGCACACAGACCAACTCATCAACCACATGCACATGTCCCACTGCAACTGTCATTGTCACAGCCTCCGACAACACCCGACAACACACAAATTACTATCACGTCTATCTGTTTCATTCTCTTCCGTTTACAGAACCCGGAGCGACACCAGACACACAATCGCCTTCCAGCACAACACCGGACGACGACGATCTCTACATCTACTACATTGACAAGTCTGGTAAGAGGAGAAGACGACCTCGACCTCGTAAAACACCATCAGACACACCAACCAGCTCGACACCAGTCACCGGTTCAGTGAAACGTGAGTCACACACATAACAATTCCTATACCACTCTCCACACATCCTCACACATATTCACACTGATTTCCTCATCGCACATCACGTCACCCACAACCTTATATCCACTTCCCCTTCAATGTCCCACTGTCCATTGGGAACCACGGTGAACATGTCAGTGACACCGTGCTGCCACACACGTCAACTCCACTCTCTGTCTTCCACTCACATGACCGTCTCCAACACAACACAACACAATACAAACATCCACTCCCACTTACTCACACAAACAAACGCACACAGAAACACAGAAATCCACAAATCCAGAAACCCAGAAACCCAGAATCACAGAATCCCTGTCTATCACTCCTCCACTCATTCCAACAACAAACATCTCAGGAAAACACTCACACACTCACCAAATCAACCACTCACTCACACACAAACACACAAACACACTCACCATCACCAACAAAACACAACACAATACTACACCATCTCATCCACACATGCATATACTCAATCATCACAACTGAACACTGCACACAACTGCACACAACTGCACACACGTGAAACACTCGTCTCGCACACAGACCAACTCATCAACCACATGCACATGTCCCACTGCAACTGTCATTGTCACAGCCTCCGACAACACCCGACAACACACAAATTACTATCACGTCTATCTGTTTCATTCTCTTCCGTTTACAGAACCCGGAGCGACACCAGACACACAATCGCCTTCCAGCACAACACCGGACGACGACGATCTCTACATCTACTACATTGACAAGTCTGGTAAGAGGAGAAGACGACCTCGACCTCGTAAAACACCATCAGACACACCAACCAGCTCGACACCAGTCACCGGTTCAGTGAAACGTGAGTCACACACATAACAATTCCTATACCACTCTCCACACATCCTCACACATATTCACACTGATTTCCTCATCGCACATCACGTCACCCACAACCTTATATCCACTTCCCCTTCAATGTCCCACTGTCCATTGGGAACCACGGTGAACATGTCAGTGACATCGTGCTGCCACACACGTCAACTCCACTCTCTGTCTTCCACTCACATGACCGTCTCCAACACAACACAACACAATACAAACATCCACTCCCACTTACTCACACAAACAAACACACACAGAAACACAGAAATCCACAAATCCAGAAACCCAGAAACCCAGAATCACAGAATCCCTGTCTATCACTCCTCCACTCAATCCAACAACAAACATCTCAGGAAAACACTCACACACTCACCAAATCAACCACTCACTCACACACAAACACACAAACACACTCACCATCACCAACACAACACAACACAATACTACACCATCTCATCCACACATGCACATACTCAATCATCACAACTGAACACTGCACACAACTGCACACAACTGCACACAACTGCACACACGTGAAACACTCGTCTCGCACACAGACCAACTCATCAACCACATGCACATGTCCCACTGCAACTGTCATTGTCACAGCCTCCGACAACACCCGACAACACACAAATTACTATCACGTCTATCTGTTTCATTCTCTTCCGTTTACAGAACCCGGAGCGACACCAGACACACAATCGCCTTCCAGCACAACACCGGACGACGACGATCTCTACATCTACTACATTGACAAGTCTGGTAAGAGGAGAAGACGACCTCGACCTCGTAAAACACCATCAGACACACCAACCAGCTCGACACCAGTCACCGGTTCAGTGAAACGTGAGTCACACACATAACAATTCCTATACCACTCTCCACACATCCTCACACATATTCACACTGATTTCCTCATCGCACATCACGTCACCCACAACCTTATATCCACTTCCCCTTCAATGTCCCACTGTCCATTGGGAACCACGGTGAACATGTCAGTGACACCGTGCTGCCACACACGTCAACTCCACTCTCTGTCTTCCACTCACATGACCGTCTCCAACACAACACAACACAATACAAACATCCACTCCCACTTACTCACACAAACAAACACACACAGAAACACAGAAATCCACAAATCCAGAAACCCAGAAACCCAGAATCACAGAATCCCTGTCTATCACTCCTCCACTCATTCCAACAACAAACATCTCAGGAAAACACTCACACACTCACCATACAACCACTCACTCACACACAAACACACAAACACACTCACCATCACCAACACAACACAACACAATACTACACCATCTCATCCACACATGCACATACTCAATCATCACAACTGAACACTGCACACAACTGCACACAACTGCACACACGTGAAACACTCGTCTCGCACACAGACCAACTCATCAACCACATGCACATGTCCCACTGCAACTGTCATTGTCACAGCCTCCGACAACACCCGACAACACACAAATTACTATCACGTCTATCTGTTTCATTCTCTTCCGTTTACAGAACCCGGAGCGACACCAGACACACAATCGCCTTCCAGCACAACACCGGACGACGACGATCTCTACATCTACTACATTGACAAGTCTGGTAAGAGGAGAAGACGACCTCGACCTCGTAAAACACCATCAGACACACCAACCAGCTCGACACCAGTCACCGGTTCAGTGAAACGTGAGTCACACACATAACAATTCCTATACCACTCTCCACACATCCTCACACATATTCACACTGATTTCCTCATCGCACATCACGTCACCCACAACCTTATATCCACTTCCCCTTCAATGTCCCACTGTCCATTGGGAACCACGGTGAACATGTCAGTGACATCGTGCTGCCACACACGTCAACTCCACTCTCTGTCTTCCACTCACATGACCGTCTCCAACACAACACAACACAATACAAACATCTACTCCCACTTACTCACACAAACAAACACACACAGAAACACAGAAATCCACAAATCCAGAAACCCAGAAACCCAGAACCACAGAATCCCTGTCTATCACTCCTCCACTCAATCCAACAACAAACATCTCAGGAAAACACTCACACACTCACCAAATCAACCACTCACTCACACACAAACACACAAACACACTCACCATCACCAACACAACACAACACAATACTACACCATCTCATCCACACATGCACATACTCAATCATCACAACTGAACACTGCACACAACTGCACACAACTGCACACACGTGAAACACTCGTCTAGCACACAGACCAACTCATCAACCACATGCACATGTCCCACTGCAACTGTCATTGTCACAGCCTCCGACAACACCCGACAACACACAAATTACTATCACGTCTATCTGTTTCATTCTCTTCCGTTTACAGAACCCGGAGCGACACCAGACACACAATCGCCTTCCAGCACAACACCGGACGACGACGATCTCTACATCTACTACATTGACAAGTCTGGTAAGAGGAGAAGACGACCTCGACCTCGTAAAACACCATCAGACACACCAACCAGCTCGACACCAGTCACCGGTTCAGTGAAACGTGAGTCACACACATAACAATTCCTATACCACTCTCCACACATCCTCACACATATTCACACTGATTTCCTCATCGCACATCACGTCACCCACAACCTTATATCCACTTCCCCTTCAATGTCTTACTGTCCATTGGGAACCACGGTGAACATGTCAGTGACACCGTGCTGCCACACACGTCAACTCCACTCTCTGTCTTCCACTCACATGACCGTCTCCAACACAACACAACACAATACAAACATCCACTCCCACTTACTCACACAAACAAACACACACAGAAACACAGAAATCCACAAATCCAGAAACCCAGAAACCCAGAATCACAGAATCCCTGTCTATCACTCCTCCACTCATTCCAACAACAAACATCTCAGGAAAACACTCACACACTCACCAAATCAACCACTCACTCACACACAAACACACAAACACACTCACCATCACCAACACAACACAACACAATACTACACCATCTCATCCACACATGCACATACTCAATCATCACAACTGAACACTGCACACAACTGCACACAACTGCACACACGTGAAACACTCGTCTCGCACACAGACCAACTCATCAACCACATGCACATGTCCCACTGCAACTGTCATTGTCACAGCCTCCGACAACACCCGACAACACACAAATTACTATCACGTCTATCTGTTTCATTCTCTTCCGTTTACAGAACCCGGAGCGACACCAGACACACAATCGCCTTCCAGCACAACACCGGACGACGACGATCTCTACATCTACTACATTGACAAGTCTGGTAAGAGGAGAAGACGACCTCGACCTCGTAAAACACCATCAGACACACCAACCAGCTCGACACCAGTCACCGGTTCAGTGAAACGTGAGTCACACACATAACAATTCCTATACCACTCTCCACACATCCTCACACATATTCACACTGATTTCCTCATCGCACATCACGTCACCCACAACCTTATATCCACTTCCCCTTCAATGTCCCACTGTCCATTGGGAACCACGGTGAACATGTCAGTGACATCGTGCTGCCACACACGTCAACTCCACTCTCTGTCTTCCACTCACATGACCGTCTCCAACACAACACAACACAATACAAACATCTACTCCCACTTACTCACACAAACAAACACACACAGAAACACAGAAATCCACAAATCCAGAAACCCAGAAACCCAGAATCACAGAATCCCTGTCTATCACTCCTCCACTCAATCCAACAACAAACATCTCAGGAAAACACTCACACACTCACCAAATCAACCACTCACTCACACACAAACACACAAACACACTCACCATCACCAACACAACACAACACAATACTACACCATCTCATCCACACATGCACATACTCAATCATCACAACTGAACACTGCACACAACTGCACACAACTGCACACACGTGAAACACTCGTCTCGCACACAGACCAACTCATCAACCACATGCACATGTCCCACTGCAACTGTCATTGTCACAGCCTCCGACAACACACAAATTACTATCACGTCTATCTGTTTCATTCTCTTCCGTTTACAGAACCCGGAGCGACACCAGACACACAATCGCCTTCCAGCACAACACCGGACGACGACGATCTCTACATCTACTACATTGACAAGTCTGGTAAGAGGAGAAGACGACCTCGACCTCGTAAAACACCATCAGACACACCAACCAGCTCGACACCAGTCACCGGTTCAGTGAAACGTGAGTCACACACATAACAATTCCTATACCACTCTCCACACATCCTCACACATATTCACACTGATTTCCTCATCGCACATCACGTCACCCACAACCTTATATCCACTTCCCCTTCAATGTCCCACTGTCCATTGGGAACCACGGTGAACATGTCAGTGACATCGTGCTGCCACACACGTCAACTCCACTCTCTGTCTTCCACTCACATGACCGTCTCCAACACAACACAACACAATACAAACATCTACTCCCACTTACTCACACAAACAAACACACACAGAAACACAGAAATCCACAAATCCAGAAACCCAGAAACCCAGAATCACAGAATCCCTGTCTATCACTCCTCCACTCAATCCAACAACAAACATCTCAGGAAAACACTCACACACTCACCAAATCAACCACTCACTCACACACAAACACACAAACACACTCACCATCACCAACACAACACAACACAATACTACACCATCTCATCCACACATGCACATACTCAATCATCACAACTGAACACTGCACACAACTGCACACAACTGCACACAACTGCACACACGTGAAACACTCGTCTCGCACACAGACCAACTCATCAACCACATGCACATGTCCCACTGCAACTGTCATTGTCACAGCCTCCGACAACACCCGACAACACACAAATTACTATCACGTCTATCTGTTTCATTCTCTTCCGTTTACAGAACCCGGAGCGACACCAGACACACAATCGCCTTCCAGCACAACACCGGACGACGACGATCTCTACATCTACTACATTGACAAGTCTGGTAAGAGGAGAAGACGACCTCGACCTCGTAAAACACCATCAGACACACCAACCAGCTCGACACCAGTCACCGGTTCAGTGAAACGTGAGTCACACACATAACAATTCCTATACCACTCTCCACACATCCTCACGCATATTCACACTGATTTCCTCATCGCACATCACGTCACCCACAACCTTATATCCACTTCCCCTTCAATGTCCCACTGTCCATTGGGAACCACGGTGAACATGTCAGTGACATCGTGCTGCCACACACGTCAACTCCACTCTCTGTCTTCCACTCACATGACCGTCTCCAACACAACACAACACAATACAAACATCCACTCCCACTTACTCACACAAACAAACACACACAGAAACACAGAAATCCACAAATCCAGAAACCCAGAAACCCAGAATCACAGAATCCCTGTCTATCACTCCTCCACTCAATCCAACAACAAACATCTCAGGAAAACACTCACACACTCACCAAATCAACCACTCACTCACACACAAACACACAAACACACTCACCATCACCAACACAACACAACACAATACTACACCATCTCATCCACACATGCACATACTCAATCATCACAACTGAACACTGCACACAACTGCACACAACTGCACACACGTGAAACACTCGTCTCGCACACAGACCAACTCATCAACCACATGCACATGTCCCACTGCAACTGTCATTGTCACAGCCTCCGACAACACCCGACAACACACAAATTACTATCACGTCTATCTGTTTCATTCTCTTCCGTTTACAGAACCCGGAGCGACACCAGACACACAATCGCCTTCCAGCACAACACCGGACGACGACGATCTCTACATCTACTACATTGACAAGTCTGGTAAGAGGAGAAGACGACCTCGACCTCGTAAAACACCATCAGACACACCAACCAGCTCGACACCAGTCACCGGTTCAGTGAAACGTGAGTCACACACATAACAATTCCTATACCACTCTCCACACATCCTCACGCATATTCACACTGATTTCCTCATCGCACATCACGTCACCCACAATCTTATATCCACTTCCCCTTCAATGTCCCACTGTCCATTGGGAACCACGTCGAACATGCCAATGAATCTGTTGTTTCACACCTTCTAATTTACCTTTGTTTCTACTCAACTCCTCTTTCCATTTTTTTCGTCTTTGTTTTTTGGGTTTTTTTCTTGTTTACTGTGTTTTCTATTTCTGAAATTTTTTCTTGTTTCTTTTTTTCATTTATTATTGAATCTTTTTATCAATTCATCTGACGTTAATCCTTTTTCTTAATGCTTTCATTATTCTTGTTTTTCTTTAATAGAATAGGCTTTTTTGATTATGCCAAGCAAATCGAATACTTTCTCTTACTATTCACTATTGTTTCATAATAATTTATACGGTCTATTTATTTACTCAAATCTACTTTAATGTTGTTGTCTTTATTCTCATTACCGTTTAAGTTTTTCATAATAACTTAAATAATAACTTTATTTTGTTTTCCATTTTTTTATCAGTGATTAACTGCTTTTAGTTAGTTAAGTTTTATGATAAGTATTTTTATCAAAACGAAAGAAATATTTTCCTAGTCTTTGTTCAAATAATTTTATAACTAAAACATTCATGAATTCATTATTTAAATAGATAGATAGATAGATAGATAGATAGATAGATAGATAGATAGATAGATAGATAGATAGATAGATAGATAGATAGATAGATAGATAGATAGATAGATAGATAGATAGATAGATAGATAGATAGATAGATAGATAGATAGATAGATAGATAGATAGATAGATAGATAGATAGATAGATAGATAGATAGATAGATAGATAGATAGATAGATAGATAGATAGATAGATAGATAGATAGATAGATAGATAGATAGATAGATAGATAGATAGATAGATAGATAGATAGATAGATAGATAGATAGATAGATAGATAGATAGATAGATAGATAGATAGATAGATAGATAGATAGATAGATAGATAGATAGATAGATAGATAGATAGATAGATAGATAGATAGATAGATAGATAGATAGATAGATAGATAGATAGATAGATAGATAGATAGATAGATAGATAGATAGATAGATAGATAGATAGATAGATAGATAGATAGATAGATAGATAGATAGATAGATAGATAGATAGATAGATAGATAGATAGATAGATAGATAGATAGATAGATAGATAGATAGATAGATAGATAGATAGATAGATAGATAGATAGATAGATAGATAGATAGATAGATAGATAGATAGATAGATAGATAGATAGATAGATAGATAGATAGATAGATAGATAGATAGATAGATAGATAGATAGATAGATAGATAGATAGATAGATAGATAGATAGATAGATAGATAGATAGATAGATAGATAGATAGATAGATAGATAGATAGATAGATAGATAGATAGATAGATAGATAGATAGATAGATAGATAGATAGATAGATAGATAGATAGATAGATAGATAGATAGATAGATAGATAGATAGATAGATAGATAGATAGATAGATAGATAGATAGATAGATAGATAGATAGATAGATAGATAGATAGATAGATAGATAGATAGATAGATAGATAGATAGATAGATAGATAGATAGATAGATAGATAGATAGATAGATAGATAGATAGATAGATAGATAGATAGATAGATAGATAGATAGATAGATAGATAGATAGATAGATAGATAGATAGATAGATAGATAGATAGATAGATTGATAGATAGATAGATGAAGACGTATTCAAAGCTTATCTACAGCTGTTGAACTTTTACATTAGTCTATTGATTTCATAAATTTTCTAAACAATATTTTTTTAGCTGTAACCACTGAGGTTGATTATTACGAAAATTATGAAGATATATCTACCACAATTGGAGTAAAGAAAATTTCGAAACGAACTACAAATTCAATAGATCAGTTCAAGCCAATTATGAGGAAAACTATTATATACAAAGAAAAACCTTCATCAAATTCATCAGATGATTATTGTAAGTTATAATAAAATGGTTAGTTTATTACCATACATTAGTTTTCTAACATGATGTTTGTCTTTTCAGAAATTTAAAACAATTAGTCCGGTTTGATAAATTTCAATAATGTAATGAGGAGATGAAGTTTATCAGAACTATGTGATATATATATATTTGCGCAATACATTTCGAACAATCTAATCATACACCATATATTTCTTAAAACATTTTTATATGAAAATTAAAGGGTCAACTAATTAGATTAAAGGTAAGAAATAGTCATAATAAAGTAGGGGTTATGTAGAGATACTAATCGATATATGCACACTAGTGACCGACTTCAAGATGTATATCCTAAAGTTCTAGTGAGAAGCAGTTGAGTTCATTGGGGTCAGTTATGAGATAGTAACTCACAAATGACAATGGTGGATGTGTCACTCAATTTCGTGGATTATTGGAAGGTAAACATCGACACTGTTGAATTCCCGCTTAGTGGTCCAGTGGTTAAACGCTCGCGCACGAAACTGCTAGGTCCTGGGTTTGAATCCTGCGAGGCGGGGTCGTGGATGCTCACTGCTAAGGAGTCGAATACTAGGACGGGACGGCCGTCCAGTGCTTCCAGGTTTTCCATGGTGGTCTAGCTTCAACTGACTCATGAATTCAACTATTAAAATTACTATTATATCCACAAAACCCCCTCTGCTTGTAACATTATTGTTGATTGGATTTTAATATATACAGTTATACTAATAACCTTAGAGAAAGTCTAATAGGCTATAAATTAATTCTTTCTACCAGTGGTTTGACGCTTGATATCTCTTTTGTTTCTCTTCGTCACTGTACTAGACTGATCATTCACAAACTTTTTATTAAGTAACATTTTGTAGTTATTTTCTTTTAAGTTTTGATCTACTTCCCATTTGAAAACACTGATTCAAATTTTTATTGTTCTTGTCACTGCAAGTAAACTTGTCGTTTTGCTACACTCAAATTAGTATCTTTTGTTATTGCATATATTTCATTATTAGTATTAACTCATAAACTATACTGTACAGCAAAAGAATTGAAGACTAAAATTGATGGACGACTTTTGAGCGACGCTAGATCGACCTTGAGTGTGTCCACCTAATAACTAGTACCGAATAAAAGTTATAAACCAGTGTGAGGAATTAGAATAATGATTTATGGTTGATGATTAGAGTCAGGAATTAGATTCGATGTTTTCGTCGCAAACGGATATCAGTTGTAATGCCTAAACTCTATTTAACCAAATTGATGAGTGAATTTCAAGTCAAAATCCAAAACCTGTTATTTTATATCTCCTTAGTTCATCTATAAGCTATAGCCTCGTCAAAGAATTCTTATTCATATAAATTTTATTTTTAACTACTACATTTAATATAATCTATTTGAACTGCACAGTGATTATGTTCCATGAAAGGAAACTTTACCATTTGTTATCATACATGCTTTGTTCATCTCTGTTTCTTTTTTATTCAGATGATGAAGTGGTTGAAACAACATGGGTTGTTAAATTGGGTGATAAAAATATAACTGATAAAGATCTACTCAATTATCTTAACAATCAAACAAACGATGAAGATTTATTTGAGCGTAAGAATGGAAGTAAAAATTCAGGTATGGTACATCTATACTACTACTTATAATCGCTAGTGCAATTACTATTCTGATTACTTTACACATAATAATTGAAAAGAGGGAATATATATATTCTGATTAGAAAAATAGTGATATCCAATTCAAGATATTTGAGGATATATTCCATAAATGAATAAATTTCATATTATACAATAACAGTATATAAGGAATAATCAGAGAGGGGTTTTTTGGATTCGAATCTCGCGAGGCAAGATTATGGATGCGCACTACTGAGGAATCCCATACTAGAACGTAACAGCCGTCCAGTGCTTCCAGGTTTTCCATTGTGGCCTAGCTTCAACTGACTCATGAATTCAACTATTAAATTAATATAAGTACATAATTTTATAGTAATGTTTAGAAATGTTCAATGGCAACTAAGTAGATTTGTTAAAACTTTAATTATATGAATTTTTAAACGGCTTAGTGTGTATTTGTAGTGTCAGTTGCTATGTTAAACCCATGCACCTTATTCTAGCTTCTGGATAAGACAATTTGTTCATTCCTCTTGAGTAATATTTTGATCTTGTTAATTATTCACTTATCAACGTTGACTGTTTCTATATGAGCGTATGTGTGAGTACACTTCTTATCCTATTCATCACATGTGTGTAACTTATTTTTGTGTGAATATAAATATTAATTAAAGCTTGATTAAATAGAGTTCACTCACATGCCTTCTCAACTGCACGCTGTTTTGTTTCGCTCTCTCTTCTTCGCTTCCTTCGCTAAGTCTCTCTGATTATCTGTTTTAATCGACGATTGTACAAAATATATGTATTCGAAAATGCATTCTCATATTTGATTTATTTAATTCCGTTATTCCTTAACGCGATCTAAGTTGATAATTTTACATGAGGATTGACGATATATACATTTCAATAACATCCATACGATCCATTTGGAATCAGATAAGCTGTCGCTAAATAGCCCCTGTCTTTGTGCTTCACATACTAATTCATTGTTTTATTATTATGACAGAATCAATTATGCTTTAATGATTTCTTTTTTTTAAATAAGTAACACAATCTACAATTATCTTATTGGTTAGATTGACATTTAAAAGATAAATAAATCACTATGAAACTTGTGATAATTTTCTTTTCAATTACTATTAATATGTAAAGATTGAAAAGATAAATAAGAATATTGTGATGCGTGCTACTGATGTCGACAGATATAAGTAGTATGTATCATGAATCGAAAGTGAAATACCTAGTGGTAGAAGGTTAAGAAGATTTAAGAAAAAAAAGAGTAGGAACAGAGAATGATTGGTATGGAAATGAAAGAACAATGAAGTCTGAGACGATTGATTTACATTTTGCAAATGAAATATTTATTGTATGGTTCTCAGATTTTACTAAAATGTTCTGTAATTTTGTATTAAAATACATTCGATTGTTCCCACCTATGTTCACGTTCAATAAAATACTACTAAAATAAGTTATCCGGTTAACGAACAATACAATAACCCTGACAGGTTCAGAAATCCATACTACTGAAAAGTATTATGCTACAATGAAACAGTTATCCAATACTCTAATTTTTTGCTAGATATCCACTTAAATTTTCGACACTATTGAGTACCTGAGATTGCCAATATCATCCAGATTTCATACGATGGACTACAGTGCAAAGTGGTGCACGGCATGACAGCTGACAGACGCTTTCCAAGTAAAAACCGGTGTCAGACAAGACAGTCTCTTCTACCGATTTCTCTTTCTTCTGGTGATCGATAAGATTATGAAGACCTCGACATCTAAAGGAAAACACGGAATACAATGGACAGCTCAGAATCAATTAGACGATTTGGACTTCGCAGATGACCTAGCCCTCCTATCGCGTACACATGAACAGATGCAAACAAAGACAGCCAGTGTAGCAACAGTCTCTGCATCAGTAGGTCTCAACATACACAAAGGAGAAAGCAAGATCCTCAAATACAACACGGTGAACACCAATCCAGTCACACTTGATGGCGAAACTCTGGGAGGTGTAGAATCCTTCACATACCTGGAAAGCATCATCGATGAACAAGAAGGATCAGATGCAAATGTAAAGGTGAGGATTAACAAAGCAAGGGCCGCATTCCTACAGTTGAAGAACATATGAAACTCAAAACAACTTTCAACCAATATCAAAGTCAGAATCTTCAATATGAACGTCAAGGTAGTTCTACTGTACGGAGCTGAAACTTGGAGAACCACTACAACCATAATCAAACATGTACAAGTATTTATAAATAGTTGTCTACGCAAGATACTCAACATCCATTGGCTGGATACCATCAGCAATAGCCTTCTGTGGGAGAGAACAAACCAACTTCCAGCTGAAGAAGAAATTAGGAAAAGACGATGGAAATGGATAGGACATACATTACGCAAGTCATCAAACTGCATCACGAGGCAAGCCCTAACTCGGAATCCTGAAGGGAAGAGGAAAAGAAGGCCAAAGAACACATTACATCGGGAAATAGAATCAAATATGAAAAGGATGAATAACAACTGGATAGAGCTAGAAAGGATTGCCCAGGACAAGTTTGGATGGCGAGTACTGATGGGTGGCCTCCGCTCCTCCACGAGGAGTAACAGGCATAAGTAAATATTCACTTAAATTCAATTATACTTTGCACAAAAAAATCTTTGAAAAATTCTCATCTTAATTTGTCGATAAAAAATCACACTCTTTTTTTCATGTCAAAATAGATGAAAACTCAATAGAAACGGAAACTTCTTGGTTTACAATGGGTAGAAAAAATAATCTAACAGAGAAAGATATCATGAAGTTCTTTGATGATCAACTAGACTTAGACGACCTGTTAAAAACAGTTTTACCAACTGGAAAAGAAAAAACACCTCCACGTAAGTAAATAGAATGGATATATTATTCCTCGATTCTTTTTCTTTTCATATCTCTTCAAAAGAAGATATCTATCTTGAATAATAAGCTAAAAGACTAAACATTTTGTAAACTGAAATCTTTTTCATACTTTAAATGAAATATTTAATATATTAAGTGAGATAAATAAGGAATAATACTATTGTTCGGTAGATTGAGATAATCGAAAAGAAACTATTGATGTAGGTTTTTGTACTATGTGGCACTTTTCAGTAAGTTGTGCCTGTAATCTCGATAGTACTGACGTTTCTTGCATTATTCCACCCCATGTTAACTAGGTTCACAGTCTGAGACCTTACCACTGAGTGTTTTCAGGTTGTAGCTGACCTTTTGCAAAACTGAAATATTGACTACTGGCTGATCCTTAATTAATGATTAATTTCATGTTTGTTTAGTCCTTTCAGTGATAACGGAATTAAAATGTAATGAGAATTTCCCATATACTAGTCAAAATTAAGAAATTTTGTTAAGAAAAAGCCTATCAATATACTACTTACAAGCTATAAACTTAACAGAATGACCAATAATTAAAGGCTCGAAGTTGAACCAATTAACTTCTAGCCTATAATCCATTTAACCTTGTCAATCAGCCAATGAGAGGAAAGGAACTACAAAGTATGAGACTACGTCTAGAAAACAAAAAATATAAATACGTATGCCCGTCGTAATAGTACACATATAGGCAACAACTAATCACGTCTCGTACTGACAAGAAATGTTACTAAGAGAAACAATCGGATGACACTTCTTTCTAGACTACATGTTAATAACATTTTTTGGAGACATCATAAAATGTTTTACAATTAAAGTATACAATCATATCATTTTCGAGTATAACTGTAAAAATATGAACATTTTTTTAATACAGAATAGGACTAAGAATATCATTCGTCACAGTTCATACGAGCAGTTTTGATCAGTAAGATGTGTCATCAATCCGAACTAATTCAAAGAGAAAAAATGGTCCTCACTAAGCTTTATTGATCTATGTAATCTATGCACAGTAGAACAGTTTGCCTCGGCTTTGACAGCGATGATTCAGATGTACTACGATAATGAGACTAGTCAATTTATATCAGATCCAGGACTCATAAACCAGAATAAAGAACTAGATCAATATTAGATAATACATTATTCAATACAGTTACAAACAGTCAAACTCAGTCCGAAATAGAAATCAGTGAAAGGAAAGAAAATCAAGGTCTTCATAATCCAGCCAGCCATCGGAAGAAAGAGGAAGGGGTGAGTAGGCAGGCTTATCTAACCCCAGTCCCCACTTGAGATGCATCTGTCTGGTGTCTTCCATGCACAACTTTGCGCCGTAGTTCGGCCTCAACATACACAAAAGGAAAAATCAACATCCTCAAATACAACACGGAGAACAACAATCCAATCACACTTGGTGAAGAAGGTCTGAAAGATGGAGGACCTTTTACTTACCTGCCTGGGCAGCATCATCGATGGACGTGGAGAATCTGATGCAGACGTAATGACGAGGATTGACAAAGCAAGGGATACAATCCTACAATGGAAGAACATATGGAACTCAAAACAGTTGTCAATTAATATCAAACACAATCTTAAATATGAACGCCGACACAGTTCTATTATACAGTGCTGAAATCTTGCGGAACTATCACGACCATCATCAAAATGGTACAAGTATTTATAGACAGTTATCTACATGAGATACCCAATGTGCGTTGACCGAATATCAGAAGTAACAGCCTACTGTGGGAGAGAACAAATCAGCTTACAACTGAGGAGGAAATTAGGAAAATACTTTGGAAGTGGATAAGACATACATTACGGGAATCACTAAACTGCATCTCGAGGCAAACACTAACTTGTAATGCTGAAAGGGAAATGGAAAAGTGAAAGGCCTAAGAACATAATACGTCAGGAATTGGAAGCAGATAAAAAAGTATTAATGGGAAGTGGAAAGAACTGGAAAGGATTACCCTGGACAGAGTTGGATGGAGAATGCTAGTGGGCGGCCTACGCTCTTCCACGAGGGGTAACGAGTGTAAGTCTAGGTGTCTTTTTTCACGCTCAATGAACAATCGCATTTTAGTCTCACTATTACTCATCACATTCAAGTAGACATTTAAATGTTTCAATTCTCTCAGCTTACTTTTTTCGACTTTATATCTCACTTCACATCTTTTCATCCAGGTACTTTATACGATGAAGTTATTAACATTTCAATTTATAAATTATATTTATATTTTTTTAAGGTGAAGTGATCTCAAAGAAAGTTTGGATCTCAGATAATCTTGACAAAGAATTAAAAGAATGGAATTTTGACCAAATTGTACAAGATACATTTAAGGATATATTAAAACAAAGTACGTAGATGGTTGTTATTGTTGTTGTTGTTTTCTCTGCATTGATTCAATCGTATGTCTTCAAAGTATGATTGTTTACATAATCATAATACAAAATATATCAACCTATTTCATAAATTTTAGAGAAAAAAACATACATCCAATCCAGTTAATTTTGAAATACTGTTGACTGATGAAAATAGTCATAACATTTATATCAATCCGTTAGTCAGCTATAGACAAATTCAAACCTTGTACAAATACATGTAACAGTATATGGTTATGGAGATTGTTGAGTTTCAATTGATATCATGAATGGATCAATGTTAGACCAACACCGTTTGCAATGGCGCAAGTTCATTCACTCTTAGTGTTCTCTTAAATTGTAATCTCCTGAATTCTCCTTGTCTCAGTTTTTTCTCTTTCCAAATTTATTTCACTGGATTATACTTCTTGAATAACATCTTCAAACCCTAATACTTCCGATTACTGCTTATAATCTTACTACATCTACCACTACGGGATTTGAATCGACAACTGTATCTGTGTGCTAATATGGTGTGGCAACTCGAGCTGATATACGTACGTACGAAGTTCTACGTTGTTACTGACTGACTGACTGGAAACCACCATTGAAAACTTTGAAACACTGAATGGTCCTTCCGTCCTAGTACTGAACTCCTCAGCAACATTTGAGTATGAAACAGCCGTCCAGTTTTTCTAAGTCTTCAATGATGGTCTAACACTCATCCATGTACGATATCAATTGAAAAATATGTATCGGTTCAAGTTTTTATGGTTCATACTACCATAAAGAAACGACAAGAAAAAGAAGATAATAGTTGAAATATCAATATCAACGATAGTAATGAACATGATGAGTAAAACATTTAATAACAAATAAAATAATGAAATTATTTTAGTAGTCGAATTCATGAGTACTTGTAAGCTAGATCACCATCGAAAACCCGGAAGCTGTGGACAACCGTTTCGTCCTAGTATTGAGCTCCTTAGCAGTGCGCATTCACGATCCTACGTGCAGGACTCGAACCTAGGACCTCCAGTCCAACGGTGTTAAGTTCAATGTAACTTCAATTATTTTAAGTAATCTTAAGAGATATTAATATTTTCTGTGATTATTACTGATAAAAGTGTGGGTAGTATAGTGTAAAGACATTGGATGCTGACCACATTAGTTTTAATGGACTCACCGAGCTGAAGGCGCACGGTCATGCATCCGCACCAGTTCACGAGTGGGAACGCCAGTCTAAATCAGTCAATCCTCTATATATTGATAGCCTATCAAATATATCTTCGAACCTATTCACTTATGTCTTTTGACTTCATTTGGTTAGTACGATTCATAGTAGAAAATTTTAATGGTTAAAGTGCTGTCAAACTCCAAGTATCTGTGGCATCTTCAGTATATTAATAGTTCTTATTAGTAAACAAAATAATTATGAATGACAGCATAAAATAAATATATCAAAGAGCTTACACAAATTTATTATCTTTCTAATTTTGATGTGGTAAATGTTAAATCCATGAGACTATAATTTATGAATGACCTTTAAGAGTGACTTTGAGAATGTTCACCTACTAACTAAGACTAAATGAAGGTTATAAACCAGGGTGAAGAACTAGAATTACGATTTACAATTGATAGTTAGAATTAGGAATTAGATTTATGGTTTTCTTCATGAACTGACATCAGCCAAAATGATATTTTACCAAATGGATGAATGAATTTCGCACCAAAATTCAAAACTTGTTATCTTATATCTGACTAGTTTGTTCATAAATTATAATCTTGCCGTTAAATCATTACAAAATAATCTATGTTAAAAGGTTATGAAAGTAAAACATTCAGTTTGTTTGTACGTAACATTTTTGTTATCAGTATTATAGTTATGTATAATTTCTTTGTTTCGAACTATTATGAATTAATCTTGAAGGAAACTATAATTTATAATCGAAGTAACCCTTATTATCCATGACTAATATTAGAATGAATAAAATATATCAGTTATATAATGAAGTCTGAACAGGTTACTAAGGGATATAGTAGATTCGTTCTAATTGGTTAGCTATAGAAACTTATCATATTCTTCATCTGTACACAAAAACTGTTTGATCTTTAGGATCTTGTATTTATTCTAATAAATAAATTCATGTATCAATATTATTAGAGATCTATGATGATTAGAAGTATCTGAATGATTATCAGTCAGTCAGTCAGCTACAACGTAGGACCAGGTACATATATGCATCGGTCCATGTTGCCACACCTCATTAACACAACAAGATGAACACCAAATTCATAGAAGTAGTTACTTCAATGGTATTAAGGATATAATACAGGAAGAAAGAATTAGAAAGAAAGGTATAAAGTAATTTTAATCTAACAGTTTAAGGGAAAACAAATAGTGTATACACCTACGCCATTGTGATCGATTCTGAGCCATTTCACCTAAAGTCTCCAACCATTGGTTATGATAGTTACTCGGACCCTAATCAAGTAGTCTGCATCGACCAACATGGGTCAGACTAGAAATTGGTCTACTTCAAGGAATAATGTCATCTCCAACACTAGTCACTATTGCACGTTTTGAGTATATAAACTAAGGATCCTACAAATAACACACTTTAGACAAAAGAGTACTAGATAAACATAAATGAATGTATTGTATTTGAAATTTGAAATCAAGCCAATATCAAGTGTTATATTTCTCTCTTATTACAACCCAGCTATTCCTATTGCTTAGTATTCTCGGACACCAATTCACTCAACAAGTCCCCAAATCAGAACACTGTTGAACAGGAAAGAGAGTATATTCCAAATAACAAGGTTATATGGAAGTAAGAAGCATAATAGGAAAAACGTTAGTATATTTATAGTTTTTACATGAGATAATTCTAGACTGTGTTCTCCAAGTATCGACTAGCGCCAATCAGCGTGCACCAACACAATCATGCATTCAGCATGCTTTAATTCAATCTATGTCCCAAAAAAATCAAGTATAAAATAATCATTAGTTCATACAAATACCACAAGATCATATTATTAATTGTAAATATTCGTAACTAAAATAAAAAGAATAGAAAGAAGAAGAAGACGAAGAAGACAAAGAAGACGAAGACGACGAAAAGACTATTTTCAATAATCGTACTAGTTTCACTGTGGAAAAAAATGTCTCATTTGAACTGGGTTTTTTATTTTCCATTTCAGAACCAAATAATACCAAGAATATCAAGAAGAATAATAGTAATAATAATGGATACAATAAAACTGATATTATTACAGAAAATCATATAGAATATGAAGATTATTAGAAGAATATTTTACAAAGAAAATGGATTGTTTTAATTATCTATCTATTTATCTATACATATATATATATAGTGGGATATGTTCAATTTCAATATTCAATAATTATCATTACTGATTTTATAATCTGTTAATTGTTTTCATTTTCTTGTAAAATCATTATTATTACTATTCCCATTATTATTATTATTATTATTATTATTATTATTATTATTATCATTATTATTATTATTATTACTATTGACCTTTATGTTTACAAACTTCATAATAGAAAATATATAGAAGACAATATTTAAATAAATAAATAAATTATTCAATTACAATTAATATGTTAATAAAAATTATAAAATCACTTGTTTTCTGATGATATTTACTTAAGGATTAGTTTGTAGTGATTTGGTTCCAAGATAATTTCTTAAATATCCCATATAATAATGATCATTCTAACAACTGTTATTGTATAAATCCCAATAATGTATAAATTTTAGTAAGTAACACAAGGCATCGACTACTGTTTAGCAGATAATAAAATTACAAGCATACAAAACGGATTTGAACAGAAAAGCCAATTCGTGTGAGGAAGCATGTATAGAGGTGGATTTAGAGTTAAATCGTAATCGGATCGAAGCGAAGAAAAGTAATTAATAAGATTCAAGCATATATATATATATATATATATATATATATATATATATATATATATATATATATATATATATATATATATATATATATATATATATATGGAAAAGTGGATGATCCATAGGGCGATATTTGAAGGTTGACATTAATTGCATGGTTATTGTGTTCCCCTACCACCCATTGATTAGGAATTATAGGGTGTGATAAAAAAAATTTAGGAATTGGTGATTGGTAAACTTGTTTTTGCAAGTATGTGTTCAAGTGATAATGAACAAACATGATGTCACCTATAATAATTTTTTTCTTAATTAGCTGTAAAATGTGCATCTTTGTAATTTGATTCGTTGAAATCGAAATAGCATCAAGTACTTTGATTGGATGTGAGAATTTGCATTTTTACATTTGAATTTTATTTTGAATAAATAATTCTGTTTGATTGTCTCTTCCATTTCACTGCCCTACTATAGTCCTTTCAGTGTACGTACATCAGGATAAAGTTTTTTTCGATCAAATACATTTGGGATTGAAGGCCTTAGTTATCGTGACAATAGTAATTATATGTATTATCATTAAAACAAAATTTGGGAAAAACTGACCACTGTTTTTAATAGTTGATATTAGTGATTACTGTAGTTGAAAGGTAGTCAAATACACAATTAATAATTTATGGATGGACTAATCAAGTGTAAGATAACAGGTCTCGGATGACTGATGTCAGTTCGTGATGAAAACCTCAGATGTAATTCCTAACCCTAACCATCAAATGTAAATCATAATTCTAATTTCTCACACAGGTTCATAACGCTCATTTGGCCCCGGTTATTAAGTGAACACTCTCAAGGTCAGTTTAGCATCGTTTAAAGGTCATCCATAAATTATAGTTTCACCAAAAAATTATCACCTAAGTATTCACATTAGTTTGTTTTTTAACACATGGTATGTTATTTTGATAAACGTTATATGCGTGCGTGTCAACATATCAATAAATCATGATAAAATAATGAATATGGAATGTATAAATAACGCTAACCGAAAACAATCAATAAATTAAGCAACTTCTACTCTGTCTCAAAAAAACAATAATTTTTCAGAAACAAAAGAAAATGTGCTCTGTCATCAAGTCCTGACATTTTATATCATTTTTAAGAAATAAGTGAACAATTATAACGAATTTAAAACTATCCATTTCATTGGACGAAACGGAATGAAAACCTTTTGATTGAGATCATGAACTGATTGATGTTAGACCACCGTTGGAAACCTGGAAGCAATGAACGACCGTTTCGTCCCATTGTGGAACTCCTCAGAAGTGCGCATCCACGATCCTAACCCAAGACCTTGAGTCTCGCGCGCGAACAGATATCTAGACCAATGAGTTGGGATGCAATAGTGTTAATTTCTAACTTCAACCAATCCAAAACGCCCAGCAAACATCTCTCATTGTCTTCGTCGGGGAACTGCCACACTTGATTTGCAAACTTCGTTGATCTAACCTAAAAAGTCACCAGTAAAAAATATTGGAAAATGGGATGATATTCATATTTGAGCAACTAATATTTTAGATAAAGAGATATGTGCGCAGGTTGTCACATGTAATCAAGCATACATGTTTATGCAGAAGTAATAATAAACATAATAAGACAAAGAAATAGACAAATTGTTACTGTTCTAATAACATTGTTAAATAACTGTGGTGTTTGAACGAACTAATAATACCTTGGTACTTGTTGAATGCTCGATTTCGAATTCCAAATACAATACATTCGTTTGTGCTTGTGTCTCACATCTTAATTCAATTGCGTTATTTCTGGGACTCTTAGTTCGTACTATAATTCAAATAATTCAAAACATTATATTGGCGTCGCGATGGAGCCTGTAATGGAAAAGTTAGATATTCATTCAACTTCAGAAGCTTTTGAAGATTACTTTGAAAGGTTCGAAATCTGGGCTATGACCAAGGAAGATGATGAGGATGTTAATATTGTGGCACACTTCCTCACATTCATTGGAAAAGAAGCATACAGCTTATTAAGAATTCTGACTATGCCGGAAAAGCCTATCTCGCTTCCTTATACAACTCTCAAGGAACTGCTGCCAGACTATGTTATTTATACTAATTTCGAATGCGGTAAAGGAGGAAGATTTCATAAAATGACTCATGAGGATATAAAAAGTTCTACTACACTACTACGTCATCCTGACCCAGTGTATACTCAAGGTTATGCAGATAATTCATTGAGGAGTTGCGATGCAGTTCACGAGGATGGACACAAGTTTGGTCAATGTTTGTTCTGTGGCAAGTTCCACTCTTTTAATTCATGTAAATTTCGTAATTCTAAATGCTTTAAATGTGATGATATTGGACATATTGAGTCAGTCTGTAATACTACTGTTCATCTTACTGCAACGAATATTAAATCTTGTAATTCTGATTCTACTGAGTTGAATATTCATGATGATCATTTATCTTTATCAACGATTTCAAAAGACAGTGTAGAGTTATATGGCAGTTCAGAGTTAAATGAAATCCAGAATTCTTGTGAGACAACAGTTCCTAATCAACCGATCTATCAGAATTCTCATGCTATTGTACCAGGTATGACTTTTCCTAATAATTCACATATTTTTAATGAAATTACTTGCAGTTCTGAGGAAAATATGTTAAATGAACCTAATCATGATCGAAAACCTGATGTGGTTTGGATAGATGCTGATTTTTCTAACGATCCTACGCTCTGCAATAACAGTCCTAATGAATTTCATAAGAATATTTCAGAAGAATCAAATCCTGATGTCATATCATATATTACCTATCCTTATAATGCATTTGATCCTTGTGAAAAACCTGCTCAGTGCGAAGCACGAGTACTAAGTGACCTCGAGTTTGATTACATTTCGGATGATTTCATACCAACTGCTGTTTACCCTTATCACAAAAACAGTTCTAATGTTTACTCTAAACAATTTGAGAATTATGTTTTAAATGAAGCCAACACTATTTCGTGGGGGAGGATAGTGTTGAAAAAT